TCTATTCGGTACAAACACAGGCGCGTAAACCTGACCACTTCTGCTTCAAATAACGCTGGGTGCGATTGCCGCCATATCTTGTAGTTCCATGCCGCGTTGGTCGACCCACAGGAATCCAGCAACAGATACGCCAAACGCAGCAGGCGCTGATTGTCACCTTCCCGGATGGGGCTGTAGAAAGAAATGAGCTGGCCTACCAAGCCCTCCACCAGACTAGTGGGGGTCGGCAGAGGGCGTTGAGCCTTCTGGAGGAGCTTTCGCAAATTCCATAAGTCCATCATGCGTTTATCGAATTCTGCCACCTGCTCTGCCTTGAACGCAGCCACTATCTTCCGTGAGCGATGGAACCGAAGGATGGCAAGTGCGGCGTTGCGTTTTTCTTTATCCGCGGCTCGAGCCTGTCTCTCACGCCGAGCCCGTACGAGGAGCTCTGCTTTTTCCTCTTCTCGGCTTTTGCCCCGCAAACTCACATTGGGCCGTCGTTTGGCCTCACCTTCAAAGAACATGGTGTCGCCTCAAAAATAGCTTAATGGATCCCTATTTTTGAGAGGAAACTGGGTTGCATGAGGATAAAGCAATGTCAAATGCTGGGCCCCGAGGATCATGGCATTCCTCCCAATATATATCGTTATTGTGACGTTTTAGGATGACCCGAATCAAACTTGAGTCATTTCGCCGGTTGGCACACAATGAAATGCACCGTACACAGCGCCTCGACCGCGAACTTAGCAGCTGCAGCGCATTGAGGCCAATGTAGCGAGCGGCAAAGTCCTTTTTGCCTAATGCAAGACTCCTGGGAGCGACGGAGCGAGGGGCAACGGAAAGGTAACTTCGACTTAGCATCACTCTACTTCTTTGCCAAATTTTGCGCCACGAGGATGATCCTCGTAGTCCTGCTTGCTCAGGTATTGCATTTTTCAAACAACCAAGATTGCTGGGACGGCACCAAGCAAGCCGTCGACGAGCATTTACCCGCGCGCGGTGGGACGGACGATATGTAGAACTCCCCCGGCTGCTCCTTGACCTTGTTGCATACAAGTATTCGTCAGAAAAATGTTTTCAGCAGCGGGAGAGAGCCTTAAGGCGTGTATCTCGATTTTAAGTAAGCCTTGGATGTACAAGTATAGGATGACAACCCCAAAAAAAGAAAATCGAAATGGTCTGAAGAGGCGAAAAAGAAATTCCCACGCTCGTGCGCGCCAGGAACGCGCTTAAACAATCAAAATATTTTCGAGTATTTTTCTTAAATCTCTTGTCTGCCATACCCTATTTTCTTTTTGATATGGGATTTTCACCTGCCCTTGCCCTCGGAGCGGCCTTGTGAGTGCTTTTCGACCTTACGGTGCTGGGTTTTGCTCTAGCAAATGCCACGAATGGCACCCTTTTCCGTGAAGTTGCAAGGCCGGTGCTTGCTCCCAATGATTGCGCGAACGCCAGAACCTACAGAGAGAAGGGCAGAAAAGGCATGGAGGCCGTGACATTTTTTCATGGCATGCTCTAGGTACACGATAGGCACCAGCCCTTCTTCTTCATCCTTGTATCGTCATCGCGATTTAAACGAATAAATGAAGCTTACCTCGGACGGGACGTCGGTCCTCCCATCTACCTCCTCCGTTAGCTCATTAAGCGGAACCACCTGAATGTTTCCACTGAATGTAGAGGCACTTGGATTAGACTCGTTCGAGTCCATGCGGCCCATCTTTTCGTCGACGTTCACGCGATCTTCCTCTCATTCTGATATCATCTGCACCTACCTCACTCGAGGAATCTTCACGATTTTCTTGAACCTCGTTTGCTCTCCTTCACTCGTTTTTCCCCTGTCATACCATCGTGTATTTGAATGAGGCATGAAGAGACCATCTCCGTCTTGGATCCGGCTATAAGCTATCGCAGTGGGCGTCGTACCTCCGGTTACAGCCACCTTCCACATCCATGTAGAACGCTAAAACTCCTCCATCACACCTCTCTCCGCCTCTTTTACCCCATAGCACATTATTACGCCTGTCTCCCCCCCTACACGCACCTCTTGGTCTCCACGCGCCGCAGAGCCTCATTGATGCGTTGCTGTTGCTCGGCTTCTTTGGCCCGTTGCACTGCTTCCCAGAAAGTCGCCGGCAAGGGTTCATCTCCCGAGGAAGGGTCCACAAGTCTGTTTGCCTCTTCCACATTTTTCTGCCCATCCTCGTTTGCTTCTGTAGCGGCATGGTTAGGGGCGGAGAGGCCCTGTACATCCCCTTCATCCTCATGCACCGGTCTTCCTTGCCCTGCACCCTCATGGCCCCCCTTCTCCGCCCAATATTTGTTTTCGCGCTCCTTAACTTTCCGTGGTCGCTTTTTAACCCGTGTATTCAAGCCGCTTGGCCTTGAGTGATTGCCACGCTCACCATCTCGTATCGCACGAGACTACAACGCAGGAAGGAGACAATAGGTGAATCAAGTAAGCGTAGCAGTTGGAAAAGGAATTTTTTACAAAGCACAAATATACCATGATTGACATCATATACCTGAATTTCTACGGGTTTGTCGTCGTCGTCGTCTGATTGGTCCACGTTAGAAGTCCTTTTCACTGCTTTCTTAATGGGTGGGAGGGACGTTTGGGAGGGAGGGCCGGAGGAGTCGGATGCTTGTCTCCGCTGCCTCGTTGCTACGCCCTCCTTGGCAGGCGTAACATCATTGCCAACATTGGCTTTAGCTCGCGTTCTTGTGGTCATCGACCGCTGAGAAATATGGCGTAAGGAGGGCGCAGAGGGTGACGGAATGGAAAGATACTTGCGACATCGAATCATCGCTAGCTTCAGTTCTTCTTGAGTTCTTCCACGTTGACAAGAAGCACAACAGTGACGACGCGTCGCGGTTCTGTATATATTGCTTCTTCACAATTTGCATCTCTCACGTTGCGATGACACGTCATTTCTCAGGTTGTATTTGCTTGATTGTCTTCAACACTTTTAGCCCCGGCGGTAAGCACTCCTCTCGACAGACGCAATGCTCTCTCATGGCGGAACGGCAACTCTGCGCAGTAAGCAGTTCTTGCCGTTAGCCCATGCTGCATTTTCAACATTGCGCACTCCTGCTTGCTCCTCCGTCGCGACCAATGTAGCTCCACGTTTGCTTCGACGACGAGTCACCATGCCTGTAACCGCACTGGGTGAGAATTTACGCCTTGTGCCGCGACGTTCTTTGGCATCCATGCCCCACTCAAGCTACCAATTTTCCACAAGTAAGTCCATCCCTCTCTATCTATCATGTCACTGCCTATAATGTAGCGTTTTTTGACTCAATCCATGTATGTCACGTCCAGTGTACGAGGACGTGTGGCCCCTGGGTAGCACGAACACCATCCTCAACGTCTGCCCACAGGGCGAGCGCTTCGTAGTGGAACGCTTTGGAAAACTTCTGGATATCAAGGAGTCGGGGTGGTTTCTAGGTAAGTTGTCCCTCGGCCGGGTAGACCTATGTTTTTCCCTTTCTCACATTGATGTTGTCTCCCGGCTCGTAATGACGTGCCTGCTCTACGCCCCCATCTTCCTCTCTTATTACCCTGTCCCCCGCGCCAGCCATCCCCTACGTGGACCGCATCGCCTACCGCATCGACATGCGCGAGCGAGCCATGGCCATCGCCCCGCAACCGGCCATCACCAAGGACAACGTCTCGGTGGACGTGAGTGGCATCCTCTACGTGCAATTTGTGGACCCAGCCCAGGCCGCCTACGGCTCTTACAATCCCTTGTACGCCGTGCGTCAATGCGCGCAGTCGGCGATGCGGGCGGCCCTCGGTGAGCTGGAGCTGGACGAGATTTTGCACGCCCGGAGTCGGTTGAACGAAATGATCCGAAAGAGCATTCAAGACGCGTGTACGGCCTGGGGTATGGAGGTGAAGCGGTACGAGATCACGGAGATCCGCCCGGACAAGACGATCACGCATGCCATGGACAAGCAGGCGGCGGCGGAGCGGCACCGGCGGGAGTTGGTCATCAAGGCGGAGGGGGAGAAGCGGGCACAAGAGTTGCAGTCGGAGGGGGTGAAGATCAAACTCAGGAACGAATCCGAGGGCGACCTGATCAAGACCACCAACGAGGCTGAGGCCCGCAAGCAGCAGTACATCCTGGAAGGGGAGGGAGAAGCCAAGGCGATCCGTGTGAAGGCGGAGGCCTTCGCCGAGTCCATCCGGGTGGTGGCGGAGAGCCTGGGCGAGGCGCAAGGTCAGGACGCCGCCAAGCTGCAGGTGGCCAAGGAGTATATCAGCATGTACGGTCTGATGGGTTCCCAGTCCCACACCATGCTTTTCTCGGACCGGCCTGGGGACGTGAACGCCCTCTTCGCCCAGGCGGCATTGGCTCTGCAGGCAGCAGGGCAGAGCAGCGTGACCGGAAAGGCGCCCAGTCCCGTGAGCGTGGTGCCGGCGCCTACCTACACGGGAGAGAGGGTTCAAGGAGGGGGCGGGGGAGGGCTTGGGGGAGGAAGGGGGGCATTGGAAGGAGTGAGGCG